ATGTATACGTGTATATATGTATATTTGTATATATATTCATATATATATATATCTATATTAGGCTGATGCTGATGCTTTGAGTACTGCGAAAATCGATATACTCGAATCAGCATTCTATCTGCTACCTATGAAGGTTTCGCCATTCCAATGACTAAACGAAGTCTAGCTGTTTCAGTTGTTTTCTACTACGATCATACTCCGACATACAGATATATCTCTCTCTTAAAAACTTGGTATCAGCTCTGTTCCTTTTGTATCGAGCGTCGCTCCTCAATACCCACAATATATTTGTGTGCCAATTTTTAATGCATGTCAATGTTCTGAATCCTTGACGTAGTTGCGTGCGGTATTCCACAGCTCAAGATGTTCCTACACTACTATTGAAAACACGGCTTTCAAGACACCCTCCATTCTTGTCTATACGACAAGCTCGATAGAAAAAAAAAGCGGATTTCCCCTCAAATCGACTCGTTTTTTCACTAGCTATAACCATTTTAGCCCCAAAATAACTGGCGCCTGGGTAGATCAAGGAGCTATTGAGAATTCACTGTGTCTGATGGCGCACAAGCTCTTATTCCGTTCTGGCCTTGTTTCGGTAAGCTACATAGATGCACGGGATAAACCGGGAGAATGACACGTGCGCAAAGGTAGTGTTAGTAGTTGCTGCTGACAATATATTACTTGGCAATGGTACGCTTGCACACACAAATCTGTCACTATCGCTTAACAGCCACTTTCATACAAACCCACATATCAATAGGCTGAGTGCGAGGCACAGCCACAGCAATAAGAAGTATACCACTGCCTGTGATGTATCCTTCAGACAAGCATACCATTCGATTCAGTACAATATAACAATAGAGACAATAAGCCACACACACCATCCATAAAGGTTTCCGCCCCCAACAGACAGTTGATATAGTCAGCTACTGGAGTGGGTAGCACTGCTTTAAGCAGTGGAATGCCCCACATGGCACCAGGCATCAGCACGAAGTCACTTCCCACCTGTATGCGAGGATTCAGTACATATGCGGAATTAGAACAAGGGCACGAGCCGATTTCACGGCCAATTTATGAGAGTTCGGTACGTGGGTGGCATTGTAACTACAACGGGAAGGATGTTGTCATATTTTAAACTATGGAGAGACATACGCTGCCATATAAATTTCCGAAGATCAAACTCGCCCGCACATTCTACATGGACGTGTACTAGTAGCTCGCAATCGTATATACACAAAACTGTACCATGTGTGTATGTACGCGTCCGTGACACCTACCCGTATGCCCCTGACTAGATTCTCAGCTACATCCACCGGATCGAGTGTTGGGACGATGCTCGCCAACTTCATTGGTTTGGCTTTGTTAAACAATGGCGTTCTGATCAGATATGGGCACACACACAGCAGCTTGACATTTGCGGCCTCTTGAACCTCCATACGCAGAGCATCATGGAAACCTAGAAGGCAATTAAAGGATGGGAGCTATATGAATATGTATATTTACAATGCTATGACCTACCTCAAGCTGTACTTAATTTAGTATTAAAATTATTGATGCTGATCAAGGCAAAAGAAATTATATACACGACACGCACGATATTTGCTGAACAGAGTGGTGGAGAATCAATTGCGAAATAATTCATCATGTCATATATATATATATATATGTCCCACCGATCAAAGCCGCCTTTGATGCACCGTAGTCACATAGACCCGGTGTGGCACTGTAGGCCGCGATACTGGCAACGGTAACTACATAACCATGGTTACGTTTGACCATCGTGGGGATGAAAGTTCTGGCTGCCCAGAAGTGAGATAGGGTATTGACCTTGAAGGTGTTGTTGATCTGGGAATCCGTAGCCTCAAACAGGCGCTTGCCTATGAAACAGTAAAATGGAGGCGATGTGCACATGTGTATCAGTAAGCAGTGTGGTTCTGTATCAATCAAGAAAGACAGAGTTGATAAACTCATTTTGATACTCGTGTGAGAAAATTTAATAATATAGTGGCAAATAGTACAGTTGCCCTTCGTCACTCTACGGAGAGGGTGTAGCTATTAGATCCTTGAATAGGATCTGAAAGTTGCAGCAGACACCGAACATCGGAATGGACGCGTAAATGCAGAAAGCGAGGTCATGCAGGCTCTACTTGATCCCATACAATAGGCGGTGCAACATATGACACACCAAATGCATTAGCGCAGGTTTAAACGACGATGCTATTGCATTGCACCTACTTACCAGAAACCATACCAGCGTTGTTAATCAATATGGTAACTTCACCAACTTCCTTCTTGATCTATGTATCGAAATGTGAAGATCAAAGTTATTATTAATAGGAATGTGAAGATCAAAGTTATTAGGAATAGGAATCTATCGTATAATGTGTATTGATACGACCCGAATGTAGTTTTAGATGCAGATCAGCAAAACCGATTCTGTCACACAAAGTTAAAGATGCGTGAATATGCATTCACAACAGCTTCTAGCGGTGAACAAACTACCATATCTCAATTATGCATCAAGATTTGATTTCAGGTATCAGTGCGTGCGACGACTTGACAACGATATATATAAATATCTCTCTGTTTACACTAGATAAGACTAGCCTAACCCCTAAACCCTAAAAGCCACATTGCGCACTGGAGACCTCCCTACCTGCTCTGCAAGCTTGGCGATGTTCTGTGGATTTGCTACATCACATTTGTAGGCTTTTGCTTTGTATCCAAGACCAATGATTTCAGCTTCAACTACCTTAGCACTATCCAGGTTAAGATCGCACAGGCACATGTATACGCCCTGCTTGGCCAATTTGATAGCAATCTCTCTGGAATGGCAAATGGGGTCAATGGCTTAATCGATGTGCGATGCTAGCAATAAAGAGAAAAGAAGGCTGTGCTGTGGGTCCGTTTTCGAGTGTATAACATCTTAACTGCACCAAATGTCAAACTTCGACTCCTTGCATACCAGCGTACTTTGGATGCATACCCTAGACCGCTCAAACAGCTCTGTTTATGTGAATTTGATGTATCTCAGAGATGGACTGTACAGCTATCCATGTGAGATATGAAAGTTATGTGTACGAGATCTGTGTGTATCATGTGTATGTATCTTTTAGATTAAAATAGAACAATATATATATATATATATATATATTTATATATATATTTATATATATATTATGTTTATATATATATATATACATATATATATATATATATATATATATATATATATATATATATATATATATATATATATATATATATATATATATATATATATATATATATA